TTTTCCTCAGCGTCTGTCTACCACTACAGCCACGTCGCTCGCAACACTTAAAACCATGCATCAGCCAGCATCTTGCTCGAAGATTCCTCCATAGGTCTACATGTCTACACTAATGCTGATCTTTTTGTACAAGGCTTATGTTTGAATTCTCTAATTCTGAATCCTCCATTTGTCTCTCTCTTCATGTCTACACTAGCACCGATCTTTCTTTACAAATCTTATGTTTGAATTCTCTCATGTGTGCATTTGAAAAACATGTAAGTAAAATGGAGGAAAATTCCTATGTAAGAAATAAGAGGAAACCAATATGAAAAGAAATATATCCTTGGGGGAGACATGAATAAGAAGTTGTTATTGAATATGCTTCCTTGACGTCTTATTTGGTCTTGCAATTTTTGTATATAGTCATCTGTACTACTCATGCAATTCTTTATATCAGTTTTTTCTCTCTGTGCACGCACGTATTATTTTCTCTTACCCTTTATTGAATATCACTGTTTTTATTATTATTATAGAAACCTGGTGGAATTATTGCTCTGCTGGATGAGGCCTGGTAATATATGTTCAAATTATAGAATTCTCCTTCCATTTCTTATTCAGGTTGTCTACTAGTTTTGCTTGACGCTTACAAGCCTTGCTTACTCCTTGTAGCATGTTCCCAAGGTCGACACATGAGACCTTCGCTGAAAAGCTTTATCAGACCTTCTGAGACAACAAACGCTTCAACAAGCCAAAGCTATCACGGACTGACTTCACTATTGTCCATTATGCTGGTGAGGTATGCATCTCTTATGATGTATTTATTATTGAAACATGTGCTTCACTTGCTCTAAAAGATTATAACGTTAGCAAGGATGCCCTCATAATTTTACTTTATCTATCCCCAGTGTGCCTCTTCATGGGTGGGTGATTTTTCTTGGCGGGCCTAAGACATGAAAACATTTTGTCTAGTGATATTCAACTCTAGGACTGTTAACATGCTTTTTTTGGTATATTAAAGTATGTGTTACACCTGACAAATTGTTAATGAGGATACACATTGGTTTATTTATTTATCGATGGAAGGCTTTGCTTTCTGCATTTTTACAACTAAAAATTGTTGTCTCAGGTCACATACCAAACTGAGTTATTCTTGGATAAGAACAAAGACTATGTCATTGCAGAACACCAAGAACTTCTCAGTTCTTCAGGGTGCTCTTTTATCTCAGGCTTGTTCTTAC